AGCACAACCTTATTGGGGTCAATTCAGGTAATGTAGGTTTGGGTTTAGTTTTGGGTCCAGAATGGGCTTACAAATTAGAGCTGAGTTGTCCTCAATTGTAGAAATTTACAACACTAAATTGTATGCACAAGTACTCGTTGTAGTCAAATTTCTGTTTTTGTACTGATACAGATAAAATCCTTCATGTTAAGGCTTCAGAGGCTTCAAGAAAAAGCAGTACAGGAAGATGACTACGATAAGGGTGAGACTTTCTTATTATTGTTTTCATACCAGTGTGTCTTTCCCTTTTAACTTTTGTTTACAATAGATACGTTACTATGGTTGGGTAATGGTGACAAAAGTTCAGTGAACAAGTGTTTGTATTATTGAGTATGCAGTACAATGAGGTATAGAAATGAGAGAAAGTAGGTCAGCAACAGGTAGTACAGGGATCAATGCAACAGTTTATTATATTGAGCCACACCACAATGTAAGTGTCTACCATTAGAATCAGATATCTTTAACAATATGACTTAAATACAGAAATGAGTGAAGGATGTAAATGGGGCAAGTGAGGGCACTGGTTGCCAATGAAACACACTGCAATGACTAATTGTGTTGAACAAAAAAGTAACAGAGATGATACATAGAAGAAATTAGGTCAGCAACTTTAGAATGCAAGTTGCAACAATAGCTCTTGTAAATGTAAACTGTATGAACTTGAAGGACAAGCTAGCAATCCACCAAATTCAATCAAACTCAAGTAAAACCATGTTAAGACTGCAGTATGCATGGTAATTGTCTCTGGAAGATGCAGCTGCCGGTGAATACACTATATTTAAGAAATGTTTGTCATCTTAAGTGCTTTAAAATATTGCATAGTATGTTGTCTATACATGTGAGTGTGTGTGCATGTGTAATTATATGACACAAAATCTCTCAGATTGCTCAATGATAGCTTTATGACCCTTCCAAATCATAGACTTCAGCAAAAATCTACATTTTGAAATCAGGAAATAAAAGAGTTAAAACAACTGCTCAAACAACCTTAATTGCCACTTT